TCATAATTTTTCTTATATTAGATATTTGTGAAAGGAGTCAATTTTTCCTTATAAATCCATTAAATATGTAGGAAATATTGGGAAATGATTCTCCATTTTTCACAAATGAAAATAGTAATTAAAATGCTAAAATGAAGACTACTTTAAGATTATTCATGTCTTACACAATTTCCCTACTGGCATCCCATGCAAAATAATGCAAACTAAATGAGTTTATAATAAATAAGGTTGCCCAGGAAGAAATCTTGCCCTATAAACTAACCATTCCAAGTTATTCGAAATTGGCAATGTGTCTGGAGTTCTAAAATAAATAACTGGTGTGAAAAACCTAAGTTTCTAGATTCTTCAGATCTTCACTGTAATATTTGGTTGTATAATCAATCCTTAGTTAATCTAAGTGAAATGCAGATGTGTTTCTTATTAGCTAATAATTTCATTTGTGTGTTTTATCAGACACATAATTAAGCATTTCCTAGAAACAGACCTTAAAATCCAAGTTAAATTGTCGTACCTCTTTTTTCCTCCTTTCAAAAAACAAAAGTGATCAACTTTGGAACCTCTTCCTGTTAGCAAATTTCTAAAGAATAGCTTTATTCCTTAGAACACAAAGAATAGCAAATATATATCTTAAGAACTAGGTGTATCCCAACTTGGAAAAGTTTGCATTTTTTATTAAATACTGACTTTTCAAATTAATGTCTTCCCTTTCCAATGATAGAGTTGAAATAGTTAAAACAAAACTTTCTCAGTAAGCAAGATGGGAAGTTTCAAAGGAAATTAAAAGCAAATACATTGTCCCAAGTGCTTTCCAGAAATCTATAAGAAATACAAACTTATACAGCATCAGTAGAGGTAATACCATTTTTATCAGTGATGAATGATCAGAGTCCTTTGTTCTAGAAGTGATGACCCCAGTTAAATCTTAGCATTACACATTTCCCTTCAGAGATGGAGGGGAGTGAGTTGCTTGCATCCATGACAAAATATGAGACTCAGCTAATTGGTGTGGTTTTGATGATGCCACAGTTCTGCCCAAAACCCTTATAACTAGCAAGTTTGCCCTGAAGATTATTGAATTACTCCCCTGATCATGCATTATTTAAAGGGAAGTGCTGTTGTTATAGAAGCCAGCTGTTTAACCATTGGAATTCTGTCTGTTGGCCAACTTTTAAGATATGGCAGTACATTGTGACTAAACATTATGTCTACTCATGGAGGAGTCAAAGTCTAGGCTAGGTGGTGACCAACTTGCCTGGTAAGCAATCTTTGGTCTATATGCTATGAAACCTTTGAAGAAAACTGACAAAATAAATATATAAATATATAAATTTTCAATGTCAAACTGTCAGCAACAAATATTCAATGGAATGTTATACATGCCTATTCATTCTCACAGTCGAGTAAGTACATGAATGTTTCATCATGCCAGTACAACAGAACTCTTGAACCACATCTTTCTATAAAAGGGACTATACCAGGCACCTGTCTTTTTTTTTTTTTGTAACATTGAGTAAGGACAATTAAAAAGTATTTTGAGCATCTTGGGCAAATAGATAGAAAACAAATTTTCACTTTCTAAGTTAGAATATATTTGAACCTCTTTCTTGAAATAGTTTCCAACCATTCTGAATATTGGGCCCAACCCAGTTTTCTTTTTCATCTCTTCACTTGTTATAGAATGTTTGGAATAGAAAAGACTGTAACAATTATCCACTGTGTTCAACAAAGGAATCTTCTGCTAGGATCCCTGACAGATGTTTATTACAGTCTTTACTTAACTGTTTCCTGCAATGAGGAGTTCATTACTTTTCAGTGAAATCTGTCCCATATCTAACACTTGTAAATTCAAATTGTTAGGAATCCTTTCTTATATTAAGCCAATATTGGCTTCTCATTCACCAGCTCTGATTCTGCCCAATGGAGCAGAATTATATAGCCCCTAATGAAGAGTTTCTCAAGGCAAAAACAGAACAATTAGTTCCATCTCATTTAAATGTTAATTGAAATGACTTTAGTTATAATTTACAAGTCATTACAAAATAACTGTCTTAAATAGGAAAATATCAAATACTGAAGCAAACTGTTTTATTACCTTTCTGATAAGTTACATTGTATCAGACTTCTAGTTGTAGACCACAGCAGCAAATACCTTTACTGTGGTTCTGGAAAAATAAACAATATATAGCATTTGAATATATGGAACAAAACTTTGACCTTCAACTGTGATCTTTCAATTGGTGAGAAATTAGATTTTTGTTTGTTAAATATTTTGATGTAGAGCCAGAAAAAAATCAAGCTTATAGGACACTTCAAAAGATGAATTAAACTTCAAAAGGCAATAGGTAAACACCTGTTATACTCATGTATTTCCAATGATGTACAATGAGTGCATTGTAGACATTATGAGCAGACAAAGAAAAACATCTCTCTGGATTGTGGTAACTAGAGATAATTGGCAATTATATTTACAACAAAATTTAATTCTGTATGCCACTATTTCAACAATATTTTAACAAATGTAGACATGAGATAGCTTTCTCGATGGAACATTGCAGAAAAGTACTAAAATTCTCTGTACCTAAATTCATCTACCTATAGACTAAAAAGCATGAGCTCAGAGTTTAGATGAGCTTAGAGTTTGACTGGACCTTGTCAAACTCTGAGCTCATTTAAGCAAGGTGAGAGGCCAGATGCCTAGCATGTCCTGTTATTTTTTGCTGTGATGATGATGACTTTCTATTTTACAAGAGGAAATAGACATGTGGTGAGTTTTTTGGTTGTTTAAAGTCACCAAAAAAAGACTATGCAATCTTAGAAACCATCTCTGCCATCCCAAGATGAAGGTTGGTGTCTTCCCCCTATATCAGGCAAGGGGCTCCAGCAGAGTTAAGTTAGAGAAGCTTGCCCTTGTCTGTCTTCAAACCCTAAGCATGAATTCTGAAATCAGTTGTTTCTGGATTGGCTAACTTTGAAAGTTTCTGGAGCTCCTCCTACCAGCCCACCCCAAAACATCAACTTACTATTTCATAATCAACAAATGAATCCCAATTACATCTCATTAAGAAATTTATAGTTTCAATAAAGAGCAATCATTACATGTAATTGACAAAAGATACAATGACCACAAAATAGGCCAAGTTACCTTTTCCTTCCTTCCCACCCCCAAGAGAAAAGTCAAAGGGTATCAGCTGTGCTTTACTGGCTAGCCACTTAGCAAAAAGTATGTAGAAGTCCTTTGTGGATTACAAAGGACCATGTAAGCCCATTTGTGTCTTTCCTCTAATTTATAGTTCCAAGAAAAGATTATTAAAAAAAAAAAAAAAAAAAAAAAAAAAAAAAAAACATTGTTTACATTGCTCAGGGGACCCGCTGAGGCACAGCTGGCCAGGGCCCTGTCCCTCCCAAACCCCACAGCCATCAGGAGCCCACAGAGTCTGCTCTGAGAGCTGAGCAGCAGAACCCGCCCAGAAAGACCACAAATGAACCCTCACTGAGTTACTACCTCCAGCTGTCCTAAGAATGACAATAAACCTGCCTTATGGGAGGAAGCAGCCACTAGGGTCCTGTGCCAAGCATCAGGAAAGCATTTGGGTTCTTAGAGGATGCCATGAATCCTGGCCCTTCCAGCAGGGAGGCAGCCAAGCTAGTTTGGTAGCAGGCCATTACCATGGGCCTGATCTCTCCCAATGAGGGAGTGCAAAATACGTGAGGATTCTGACTTTCAAAATCCTATCCTCATGTGATGGTGTCATTATTACACAAACATAGACTTGTGATTGAAAATGTAATGTTTTCTTTTGTCAGGAATTAAGATTGAATAAGTGTCAGATTGATTAATTGGATTCTTCTGTGCCCATAATGTATAAATTTTCTTCCATAAAACCTGAGCATCAGTGGAGAAGATGAGGAGAGATAAGGGAAGAGAAGAGAAAGCAAGGTTCTGTCCCTCTGCCCTTGCCTGAGCTAGAACAGAATCACGTGAAAGATGGACATTTTGTTCATTGTTTCAGTTTGGTAGTTACTCTATAAAAAAGAGAATTCATTGTTCTGGTCTCTTGAGGTGATAAGAGAGGGAGCCCTATTAGATTGGCATTGTAACTAATTTCAAGTCCCAAGACTTCTGCACACGGACAATAGTGACACCGCTCCACAGATCATATAGGACCCTGGAAACAGTACTTGGAGAAAGCTGGCTATGATTTATTTAGGACCTCCACTATATGTTAGGTTCTGTGCTATGCATTATTCATACATGACTTCATTTAATCCTCAAACAATTCCTACAAGGATGATATTATAAACTCCATTAGATAAATGGGCAAACTGAGGCCCAGAGAGCTTAGTAACTTGTCCAGAGTCATACAACAGCTCCTCTGGGCTCCATGAGGCACTTGGGCTTTACAGCAAGTAGATCTGAGTTTGCATCTTGACTCCACGATTTGCTGCATGAATGACCTTGAGCAAGTCTTTGCCACCTCTGAGTCTCAGTTTTCACATTAGTAAAATGAGGAGCCCTTTCCAAACTTAAAACCTCTTTGGTGTTCAACCAGACTATACACTCAAAGCAGTTAAACAAAAAGGCAAACATTTGAGCTATTCTGCTTATAAAAACAGTGTGGAGTTGCCAGAAAGATTAAGGATTAAGAAAATAATGCATGATCTTCTTTTAATATTTCTATCATCCTCTGGAGCCAATATATAAGAAAACACTAGGATTGGGCATAGACAAGATCCTCGCCTACCAGTTGCAAAGCTTGGGGAGAATTACCACAAATAATGTGGTGAATGAGTTAGTGCTGAGTGTGGTACAGAATCCAGGAGGCATACTGGAATCCAGAAAGATTCATGGGGTCAGGAATCATTGGGGAAGTTTCAAGAAGAGGTTGAGACATTGCAGAATACATAGGTTAACTAGATGTGGGGAGAGGCAAGAGCTGGGTGGAAGACTGAAGAAAGCAGTTTCCACCCTAACGTGAGGCCACTCTGTTTGATTTGTACAGACAAGCCCACTGGGTATGGCTCCAGCAGTCGGAGGGTGCCTCAGACAGGCATCGTGAATGAGTGCTGCTTCCGGAGCTGTGATCTGAGGAGACTGGAGATGTACTGTGCACCCCTCAAGCCTGTCAAGTCAGCCCGATCTGCCCGTGCCCAGCGCCACACTGACATGCCCAAGACCCAGAAGGTAAGCCCACCTGGTTGGGATCCAACCATCCTCAAGTGGTCTCTCTTTTCTGCATGTGAGTGGGCCAAACACTAATTCTGCCCCATAGACCCTGGCTTACAGGTCAAAAAAAGCTCCATTCGCACCAAAGGGATGGATTACATCCCCATCTCTTTGGTCACTCTGCATTGCAAATTTCCCCTTCCACAGCTATGGATGATGTGAAGATTGGAAGATGTTACAAAACAGTGGCTAAACAAACATGGGCTTTGGTATCAGACAAAAGTGAAGTCCTGGCTTCCCCACACACCAGCTGAGAGCCCTTGCCAAATAATGTAACGTATCCAAGACTCAGTTTCATCAGTAACATTGGGATAATAAAAATATCTACCACATCAGTCTGTTGTCAGAGTTAAGCAGTTAATGCATACACTTTGAGATACTTTTCAAATGCCTGCATAAAGTAATGTTGGACCCTCGTTAATGTCTGTCATAATTTTCCTTAATAACAAAGCTTGTAACCTTTCAAGTTCTGTACTCTTGCAAAGGAAAAAAAAGGCTAATGGGAACTACTCAAAATTCACATTCAGTAGCAAACATAATTAAACAAGAAACATTAAAAACAGAAATTTCTGTTTGGCTATAAGAATGCCTAGAAGTTTGTAATGATCAAAATCTGCAGGCATTATTTTCTAAGAGCTAGACTGTAAACAAACCTCACAGGTACCATCTATGCCATCAGAAAGTACATGAAACATTTGATACACATTGAGTAACTTGATCAATTTTTGTTGAATGAGTGAACGAATGAACAAATGAATATAATGGATTAACTAAAATTTTAGCCATTAAGTAGAAAGAATAAGAACTGAAGAGAAGGTAAAGGAGGAAAAAGAGAAAGCAAGGAAGTAGAGTAGGGAAGAAATTAGCTCTCGTTTAAGTCTTCTTAGGGACTCTGTTGAAAAACGGAAGGCCAACATGTGGTTTTAATCTTTGGAGCTAGAACAAATAATATTGTACAAAAGCACAAGATGAGAGATCAAGAAGTTCACAATGACACCTTTCTGCTTCCTGGTCCTAAACCTCAGCTGAGGCTGGAAGAGGAAGATAGTGGCTTATTAGAGATGTGACCCCAGGGAGCCCCTTTGCAGGATGGAAGGGGACCGGGCAAGCCACAACACACCAAAAATGCAGAAGCCACTGATCAGTCAGGAGGCAAGGATCTCAGAAAAAACTTTAGTTGAATGTGGCAGGAAAGTGTGCTTGCAGGGGCAAAGGCACATTTATTCTTTCTCTTCCCAGGTGACCCAGTGCCTCTTGGTTTCTAACTGTGGAGGGAGTAGGTGTCAAGAGATGAGTCCCAAAGTTCTGGAATGCTGAGTCTTGTGGCTGAGGTCTAGACCCCTCTCCAGTGCTACTGCTGTCTCCTGCATCATATGGAGACTGGACATTCTGAGCTCATTCAAAGGTTCTTTTTTCAGGGACACAATGGGAACCACTTGTTCTCAATGCAATTATTTTTGTGATATTTACAGTATCAGCCCCCATCTACCAATAAGAACACGAAGTCTCAGAGGAGAAGGAAAGGTGAGCCAAAGACACATCCAGGAGGGGCACAGAAGGAGGGGACAGAAGCAAGTCTGCAAATCAGAGGAAAGAAGGAAGAGCAGAGGAGGGAGATTGGAAGTAGAAATGCTGAATGCAGAGGCAAAAAAGAAAAATGGAGGACAGGAGGACTAGGCAGACAGAGGCAACGATGATGAAAGAGGAGCAGACAGCAAGAAAGAAAAGCAGAAAATGCAGTAGAGGAAATGAAGAAACGTAGGCCTGCTGGAGCTAGATAATGATGTGATGGAAACAGAAGTAACCTGTCAGAGAATGTGGCTAAGAAACATGGAGAAAATGGAAAAGAAAAATGTAATGCCCTAGAAAGCCCAAAGAAAGACAGTGGTAAATATTAAAAAAAAGAATAAAAATTATAAAATAGGCAAAAAAGACACACTATTCTTTGCCTCTAAAACACAATTAAAGAATTTAAAAAAAGGCTTCTATATGCATTTTTAAATTTTGTATGAATCTGTTATGGAAGAACTGCCCATGTCAATATATGTCCAGAGTTAAATATTAGCCCAAAATTCTTAGCAAGACTGAATTGTGTCATAGAAATTCCCAGATTCCCTTTTTCCTGCAATGTCATTGGAGGCTGCGTTTCTTAGTCAAGTCCAGGGTTTAGGCCAAAGGGCATCCAATATTGCCTAAAACCCTATGAGGACTGTGAGATAACTTTTGAGAAGAGGCCACTGCACTTTTCTTCATCTTTTTTACACTTTGGAATCAGATACAAAAGATGTATACATTTCCTAGGGCTGCCATAACACAGTACTATAGACTGAGTAATTTAAACCACAGAAATTGAAATTTTTCATAGTTCTGGGAGTTGAAAGCCCCAAATCAATGTGTCAGGCCTTGCAAGGGCCTTAGAGAAGGCTCTGGCATGGGTTCTTTCCCTTGGCTTGTAGGTGACCTCCTTCTTCTCCCCCCGTGTCTTCACTTTATCTTCCCTCCATACATATCTCTGTGTCTGAACATCCTCTGTGTAAAAGGACACCAGCCAGATTGGATTAGGGCCTACCCCACTGACCTCATTTTAACTTAATTATCTCTGTAAAGACTCTGTCTCCAAATACAGTCATATTTTGATGTACTGGGAATTAGGACTTCAACATGTGAATTTGGACACAATTTAGCCAGAGACAGAAGACTTCTGATAGCTGATGATAACCACTACATTTAGACTACAGCTCCTAGAAAACACTCCCCTCCCATCGCCACCTCACCACAAACTTATTTTTATATCTGAAATCATGAGTTTCTGCTCCATGAAAACCACAGGACCATACTATGTCAGAGCTGGAAGAGGCCTCAGAAATTGGTTCAATCCCTTTATTTTAAAGACGAGGACACTGAGATCCAGAAGTAGGTAAAGATGTGGTTGGGTTCTAAGCTGCTCTCCTTCTGGTCAGCGGACAATAGTGTATAATCAAAGTGAGTCAACTAAGAAAGAATTCCAGAAAGAAAAGGCAGGGCAGAAATACTGTGTAAAGTCTTTTACTAATTTAATATTTTTCCACCAGAAGAAAGGGAGTGAATGAGAGCAAGAGTGCTGGATTTCCCTGAGGGTGAGGAAAAGCTACATAGAATCACATAATTCAGATTTTAGAGATCTTCAGATGCCTTGGTTTTATCAGTAGAACTGGGGTCTTCTTCATAGATAATAAAGCAAACAGTGCAAAAAGTCTAACCATCCTCCAAGTTATGTATTAGAAGAGCTGAGATGGGGCATAAGACAGAAGTGCTCAGCCAAGCAAATGATGACATTTGGGGGTAAGAATATGACTTTCTGCATGGTCCTCCATGCCCCTGCCATGCTTTTTATTCCAGGATCACCCTTTCTAGTGGTTCACTGAAAACTCAGGATTACTTAAATATGATAGAGATGCTCAAGGCTTAATCCAGGAGGAAAAGGTCCAACTGAAAACATGCCAAAGCCCCACATGGGAGCCAAGCCACTGCTGCTGTGGTTGCAAAGTGGATCCTGGCTTATCAGAGCAGAGAGAAGCCAGGCTGGTGCCTTAGCCTAAGTGGTGAGTCAGGAGATACTAAGTTCTCATTCAGGAGATGCTAAGTTCTCCTACTAAGATATCCATGCTTTGGGACCAGCTGCAGGCAGAGGCCAATTCCTTCTACAACCATCACCTTAGAGTAGCATGTAAACACAGATGGTTCTTTAAGGGATCACAGCTCCATAGAATGACTAAGAATTCATATCCTGTGGAAAGGTTTGAATAAACTATAATTATACCCAATCACAAACTTTATTCAAGAAGAACTAAGGCAAAGGCAAAGAGAAAGACAAGGAAAGAGAGAGGGAGGGAGAGAGGGAGGGAGGGGGGAAGAGGAAGGAAGGGAAGGAGAGGAAGGGAAAGGAAGGAAGGGAAGGAGAGGAGGAAGGGAGGAAGGTAAAAAGGAAGGGAGGGAGGGGAAGGGAAGGGACAAAAAGATTTTCTAGTTAAAGAATGCTTAACTGGCAAACTATGTACTGCAGCACAGTCCTTTTCGGAACGAGTTTTACCAATTCTAAAGCAATTATCTTGAATGCTTACATGTGATTACTGAATAATATGAACCAAGAAAACATGAAGAATCTATTATTATCTTTCCATCTCCTTCTTTCTAGTATCAGTACCCAAGCATCTAGTGATAAATGACATCTAATGCTGTTTGGATGGGTAGATGGATGGATGGATGGATGGATGGATGGATGGATGGATGGATGGACGGACGGACAAATGAGTAACATAGGCTGATGAATAGTGATAGAAACACACACCGTAGAAACAAGCTGCACTGCTGAGATGAAATGATTCCTGTTCTCCTACATTAAGACAGTGAGGCAAGTACAGAGTATAAAAAGAAAGGCATAGGAGCTATGCTTATACTACAAGTCTTGCATGTTTGGAATTTCCTTCTCTGGCCAAATTGAAATTGTTCAAGGACCTACTGCTGCAGGTGGCAACTGGCTAAGAATTCCATAGTGAATGTTATATACCTATTACTCCTCTTAGTGTTTCTTTGAAGTATGCAGAATATTAATAAACATTTAAAAATTCCAGTGTTTCAACTTCAACTGTTTCCTAGGGCAAATTGATACTTGTGTGTAATACTAATTGGAATATGTATGGAACAATAATCCTGATATAAAATAGGTGAAAAATATTTTTTATTGGGCACCTACAATGTGCAAACCTCTGTGCTAGGCATGAACAATAGTTATAAGCATTAGGGAGGCTAAAATATAGTCTTTAAGGTGGCTCATGCCTGTAATCCTAGCACTTCAGGAGGCTGAGGCAGGCAGATTGCCTGAGCTCAGGAATTTGAGTCCAGCCTGGGCAAAATAGCAAAACCCTGTCTCTACTAAAAATACAAAAAAAATTAGGTGGGTGTGGTGTCACGCACCTGTAATCAAAGCTACTCGGGAGGTTGAGGCATGAGAATTGCTTGAACCCAGGTGGCTGAGGTTGCAGTGAGCCAAGATCCTGTCACTACACGCCAGCTTGGGTAACAGAGTGAAACTCTGTCTCAAAAAAAATTTAAAATAATAATAATAAAATATAGTCACTAAGAGTACAAAATGTAGAGTCAGACTACCTGGGTTCAAATCTTGGCTCTTTCTTACTTGCGTTGTGGCTTTGGGCAAATCATGTAATTTATGTGTGCCTCAGTTTCCTCATCTGTTATATAAGGGTAACAACTGAATCTACCTTATACAGTTATTGTGAGGGTTTACTGAGATTGTATGTGTGTGTATGTGTGTGAGTATAATGTGTGCATGAGTGTCTCTGTGCAAGAAGTGGGAGGTGTATATTCAAATACACATATTATAGGGCTTTAATGGTATCTAGCACATAGTAAGCACTATTAAAGTTTTAGTTAACATTATTTTACTTAACTCTAAAACTTGGAGCTATGTAAAAACTTGGAGCTACCTCCTGAAGTAGAAGGCAGTCTTGTGTCACCAAGAACTTCAAGCCCAAGCCTGCCAACCCTTTTCCATGATGTGGTAGTGGAGTTTCAAGCACGTGGTAGGAGAATAAGAGAACTCAATGACCTAAGAACCATTCCAACCCATAGAACCCCTGGGTCTATAAATAATTCCAACTTAAATGGTAGCTTGGCTCTCCCAAGTGCAGAGCCACTGCTTCTGTTTCAGGGTCATACAATGAACTTTCAGAAAATGACAATTTTTCTCAACTAGTTAAAATTAAATGTAATATGTGTTTTCATTTCTTGGTGCCTAGGGAAAATTTAGTTGTAGATGAACTCCAGTTCTTAGTAGTTTTAAGTAAAATTGCCAAAACAAATAGAAATGCAGGATATTTCCAGGCTCACACAGCTTCCGGGACACTTCAGTTTCTAGGGTTGCCAATCCAATGCCTTTCACAAGCATTTAATCTTTTTACAAACATCTCTTGAAGACAAACAAAACCTTACATAGCTTCAAACGTATGCACTGTACGAATGTAAGGGTGAAAAAGGAGGCAAAAAAAATGAGCTCCCAAAGAGCAATTCCCCTTCTCTCTCCTCCATTCCCCTGACCACCTCCTTCCCACTAAAGAGAAATATTGTTTTATTAGGTAATAAATTTGGTAATTTCTCGAGTCCATTAACATCCATTGGGGAAGATGAGGTCTATTTTTACTTGCCCATAGGAGAAGTATAGGGCTTTTATGCAATATTCACTAGATAACACACAGTTGACTTTTAATCCAAGGGCAACATTGATCATCTCTAATTAAAGAGGAAGCCTTCAGGAGCAATGAAAAGATTAATAGATAAAGCAGAATTCAAATCCCTTTTTATGAGGTTTGAAATATCCAGTTTGTATGCTCACCTCAGTGCTTAAAGCCCAGTTACTGATTCCTTTGTCCTAAGCAAGACAGGTCTATTTTTAAAGAGAGAATAGCTGAGGTTAGCAAGGGTTCTCCAGGTCCACTAAAATTCCAGACCTGCAAGGTGAACATCAGCTTTTCTGTCATCCCCAAAGACCTAACTGGAATCAAAACTTTTCCCTGATGCCCACATGTTTGGGGGTCCTTCTGTAATGGAACTCCTTAATGCTTTTAGTGTCATCCCATTTTTATCCAGTGGCCAAAAGAGATGATTTAGAAATATAAGCTTATGTTTAAATTCCAGAAGAGAGAAATGGAGATTGAGAACAGCAGGCAAATGATGAGAGATATGGAACAAGAGGTTTATGAGTCCATGTCTGATTCTTCCAGAGAACCCCTATGAAAATTTCTACCATACTAAGAACTCAATTATAACTCTCACTGTCTATTGTTAGATGGGTAACAGGACCTAGAAAACATTTTGGAAATTGCCATCTTTATTTTATTAACTAATATGGTTATAGTTTTAAGAACCATTGGTCAAAAAGCTAACTTTTTAAAAAGTGGAAGTATGACAGGTAGAAATAAGA